CCCCAAGTCAGGACCCGGGGCAGAGCTGTCATCAAAACCCTCTTCCCCTGAAGAAAAGGCAGAGTCCAGGGAAAAGGCAGACAAGAAACGGCCTGCTGGTGGAACCCAGAAGCCTCGGCAGGAGGAACCGGCTCAAATGCCTCCATCTCCGACCCGAATGGGGCAGCCACCGAAGCCGCCCGAGTCTCATTAGCAACTAAACCCTGTGCCGAATCCGAAACCCCTCAGACGTTTGGGAGTCAGACACGGGTAAAGGTGGAGGATGAAAACGGGAAGGACCAGGAGCGCGGACGGAACCAAAGTCGAAGCGCCTAACGCCCCCAGGTCCGGGTCCCTAAAACCAAAGTGAGGCAGCCGCTGGGCATCTGGGTGGGAAACCAAATTAGCGAGTTACAATAACCTAAACCTAACATGTAACGTGGATGCTGTCTGTACCCTAAAAGTAACATCATCAGAATAAAACTGGAGCACAAGCAGAGAACACTACTCACAAGACTCCAGGTCAAAGGTGTCGTTGACCCAACAGGCCGCATGATGGAGGAAAAATGGGTGACTGTCACCCTGAGACAAGGGCACACAGCAAACTTAAAACCCACACAAGGCAGGCTGGAACTCGGGAGACTCATCCATGGGTCCACTGAGCCCCGACAGGGTTTTCCAGGGTCCGTAGGCTGACTGCTACGAGAAGCCCAGGCAAGGTGTTGCTAACCGGTTAAACACCCAAACTAACAACGGGTAGATGACAACACTGAAACCCCTGCGACGTGTACAAGCACGGGGGCCTAGCAGAGGGCCACCAAAACAGTATCAGGGGAACGATTGTCCCACTAGGGAGACCCCCCCCCACCAGGCAAACAAAACCAAAACAAGAAAAATCCTGCAAAAGTACTTCGTCCCCAGAGGCAACAGGAAATGTTCACCATGTAGGTGGCAGGATGCGCAACACCTTGACACCCTAACCAGCACAACACCACTCCCTACCTAAGGAAAAACAACGGCCCCAAGCCCCAGCTGGCCCTAGGGGCGAGGCAAATGCCAAGCAGCAAGAACCCCTATGGGAGTGGTTCCTGAACGCCCCAGGGGAAATAGCCCTGACACGCAGGAGCAGTATTCACAGGGCACTTAGGAAAGGAAGCCCCTAAGCGCATGCAGCCCTGGCACTGATGAGCCAGTGGCTCATCAATAACTGGCTACCACACATCACAACAAGAGAGCAGAGAATGCCACACAGGCACTACACTTTGGTAATTACACTTAGGTAATTACAGGCAAACACTGCCCAGGAATTTGAGGCCAGAGAAGCGTCTGTCCTGGTTGACATTAGCTTATGAACTGGAGTGCTAGGCAGCCGGCGCGGTGAGGTCCGGGGCTCCCCCTTCCCCCTCTCGGGGAGGGGAGTGCTGTGCAGATGAGCGGTGTGGTAGTAAAGTGCGATGTTTGCTTGTTTCCTTAGGATTGTAGGGAGATTCTACCTCTCTGTTCAGTTTTTTGTTTTAATTTCTTACCATGTGGGGTTTGTTTTGTTATGCCTACCTTTCTGGGTGCCTAACCCCAGTCGATGGCAGATAAGGAAAAACCCCGAACCACAGGGGGGTTTTCCAGGGCCATTGCTCCCTGAAACCTCTCTGAAGAGGCCAAATTCCAGCTCTTGTCCCTGGTAGGTCTGAACTCCATAGCTAATGTCCCGGTCTAATATAAATTACATTAGCCCGATAAGCTCCAGGGAGCTGTAGGGGCTCCCCCACAGAAAAGCACAATAATTATATAATTTTTCACAGAGAATTCATGCACGGTTATCACTAGATGGGATATAAGCGTAAACTGATCTTACCAACTCAGACAAGTTTGAACGAGTGCTTTATACTCTGGAACGAACATTGTAGGGCGTATTTTCCAACAAAAATTTCATCATACACCAGAAAATTTATATTCAGGTGCAATCATACATCGAGGTTTGGATTGTACATTATTGTGTATGCCTTGTGTCATAAGCAGTTCAGTACAGTACTGCTTATGTTTTTGCCTATGGATTAGTGGTTTGTTTTGTTGTTTTGTTCTGGGTATTTGTTCCTATGTTCTATGTATTAGGAACATTTGTATTTTACCAGTGGTTGATTCTCTTAGTTACAGTGCACTTTGTTCTTTTTCAACTACAGTGGTACCGCGAATAACGAATTTAATCTGTTCCGGCGCCGTATTATTCAAGTGAAACGGACGTCATACAAAACGAATGTCCCCATTTAACCACTGTGATGCGCTGTGTTTATTGTATAATTTCCCTAGTGTGCATGACATCAAGTGTTCCCAAAAAATAATTTTTCTTTGTAAAATGATAAATTACCTTCCCAGAACATGTCTATGTAAAAATAATTACCAAATTCCACTTACTTTGGCTGTGAGGACATGGACAAGGTGCGCTGTGACATCATTGGGGGGACTGGTCGTCCGTGTGTGAAGCTCCCAGACACGGTCTCGCAGGCCATTCAAGCAATGCATGTTGCTACAAATATATTTTCAATGATTTGTTCTATGTATTTCCAATGCAGTTTTATTTGTTTCTTTTATTGTATATGATGCATATATGTGACTTTACAATATGTATACTGTAGAATGTTCATAATGTTCCATGGAACTGTGATACATGTGTCAGTAATGTGTCCACAATAAATGTTTATTGTCACAATATTACGTGGTAAAAATTCACTAAAATTACATTATGTACAGTTTTACATACTATTTACACAGTAACACACTGTATTACACACTCAGTACTTTGGAGGTGCGTAATAATCAACGAAGTAGTCCATGGTACACAGCCCGGCTTTGCTCTCGTTGCACCAGCTACAGATAGATTTTCGCTTCCTGTTTCATTGTTCTGTGTGCTTGCAAATAACGCACTCGCATGTACCCTTGGCTTTAGTACTTGTAGGTGGTATGTAGCGAAGCTTGTAAAGCATAAGGTAGTATTGAAACGATTATAGGAAAAGCTCAAATTGTAAGGTAGTCTTGAAAAGATCGCTTTGTAAGGTCCCACACAGGAAGAGATTCAGCTAGCCTCAAAGAGTGTCCATCAGTCAGGAAGAGATTCAGGTATTCTTGAAAATATCTATGGAAAACACCATCATGGAAGCCGCTAACACTGTTCATCTATGCTACTTGTATCAGATGCATCATCACTGAATGCAGAAAATGATTCATCTATGTATCTTCTATATAAATTAGAGATGGCAAGGGTGGGGCTCAGAGCTACAACTGGATACGCTCACTGTATCATGCTCATAGGTGCTGTATCACTTGCATCCAACCGTTGTGTTAAGTCTTTATTGCGCCTAGCTTCACCAATATTATGACTCTTATGTTCTTCAAACAATAAGGTCTGAATTTCACCAACTGAGCGCAATCTTTCAACACCGTATCAGATAGGTGTTTGGGAGCCAAAGGCACGTGTGCCACAAATGGGTGCTAATGCTGTACTAACCCAACCAGCAGCCCTAGTCTTTCATATTTGTTATAGCAAAAGGTTCGTTCAGTGTTTGTCGGGTAGGCTGCTCCATTATGATAATCTTTCTTTGTTTCAAATGTGTTCCATTTGTTTTGTATTTGTCACTTACGTCTCAATAATGGAGCAGCCTACCCGACAAACACTGAACGAACCTTTATGGCATTTGTCCATTTTTCAAATTGTTTCAATGTTTCAACTTTTTTTTTTTTTTTTTTAAGAAACATGGAGCAGCCTACCTGCCGACCACCGAACGAACCTTTTGCTATAAGACAAATGAAAAATAAATATTGAACACATTTGAAGAAAGGAAAATGTCATAATGGTTTGTTCAGTGTATGTAAGGTAGGCTTCTCCATTATTGAGACGTAAATGACAAATACAAAACAAATGGAACACATTTGAAACAAAGAAAGATTGTTATAATGGAGCAGCCTACCTGCCGAACACCGAACGAACCTTTTTGACATTTGTTGTATTTCAGAAATTTCATTTCTTTTTTTCTACAAAAACATCAATGCTTTGCAACATCTCAGCAGTCACCCCTTTATATCCCAGCATCATTAGCATCTTTAAACAAGAACAACATAATTTATGTGCATCATCGGAGGCGTCTGAGAATGTGCAAGAAGCAGCGCGACCCCACCATGTGGTGTTGATGTTACTCAAACGAGCGCTCGCCATACGGGACGACTTGACACCAATTGGGCAGTTCGTTACCCAAAATGTTCACCTTTTGGGGGCGATCGTTATGCGAGGTACTACTGTATAGGTAAACCTCAACAAACAACTACTTATATCATGAATATTAGCTTCAATGTATACTTTAAAATGATACAGTTACTTACATAACATAAAAAATAATTTCTCTAACAAAAAAACACTTTTTTCCCTTTGTGCTGATATTATTCAACTGCAGAAGGCATGGCTTCCCACTGTTTACATCCATCCACATTTATTGGATGGATGATTACAGTTCAAATGGTTCATTACTGCAACCTGCTCCAAAGTTAGTATACCTCATTCAACAATCAGTGATATTTGTTGTTATCTGTGACCACATGAGTTTTTATCTCCTTTGATCTGTAGCAATTGGAGTTTACTGACATGGATTGAGATAGTGAAGAATGAGTGAAGAATGGGTGAAGAGAAACTCTTTATAATGGATTAGACAGTATACAAGGTAGGCATACAAAAGTGTGATACAGGGAGTTGAGTAATGGATAAACATTTTCATTAAAGGGGGGGAAAATGGGAGATTTCATACTCTATTGGTCTCATAAATAAATTAATAAGCATCCAACAACAAGATAGAAAGTTAAGCTTAGAGCTGCAATCTATGTGCTCACCCAACAACTTACTGGACAGGCTTAGTGGTGTTTATCCAGCTGGCCAAGTGATAAACAAATCATTCATTAGTAAATAAGTCAATAGATCTACAGTCTGATTTTTAAGAAAAAAAAGAGCACCCATAGGAAGTTAATGTCTGCTGTTAACTTACCTGATGAATTTGAGCACAAGATAAATGGCAGTGTCTGTCTCATGGTAACGGATGATAGGCACCATGAAGGGAACGTTCTCGGGAACAACAGTCTTTTCTCCACTACCAATCCCGCTCTTGATCAGAACCTGTGTAAATCGTTCCTTCTTATTAATAAACTTAATTTGGAACTACAATAGTTTATGTGGAAGCAATTGCATAAGTGTTACAAAGCATACAAAAAAGTGAAGGGTACATGAAATTGCACGGCACAGCTCCACAACAGTCTGTATTTTGTAACTAGATACTGTATTTGGAAACCCTACTCAACATTTTGCATATTCTAGCTGCTTTAAACTAACATATTCAATATATTCAGGTGACTCTATAACACTTCAGTTTTCTAACTCATGAATTACAGACTTCGTTATAAAAGAAAGATTATGTCAACCATAGCTGATACTCAAATAAAAATTTTTATTATACAGCACCTTGATGGCGACAGTGTCACCATTTGTGGTATCAGTTGCAATAATAACAGATCCTGCTAAGCCTGCAACACGATATCTAGAGAGATCTGATGCTCGACTCTTGAGTCCCGCTTCGCCACTGGAACTAATTTCTGGAGGAGGCCCATCAGAATGCTGGGAAAAGAAAAAACCAGCATTAAATGTAATGAAACACCATTTTCTGGTGCGCCCTGGAGGCTCCCTACTGGGGTTCTGCCTACTGGGAACCACTAGCCAGAACATGGCCTCCCTCAGAAAGGCATAGACAGCAATGGCCTTGGAAACCTTTCCCCCCATGTGGTTGAGGGTTATCCTTATCTGCCATCGACCGGGGTTAGGAACCCAGAAAGGTAGGCATAACAAAACAGGCCCTACATGGTAAGAAAATTACAACTGGAAACCAAACAAAGAGTAGAACGCCCTCAACTTCCAAGGAAACAAGCGCACAAGTAAAGTCACAGTCCATCGCTGCATCGCTCTCCCACGCAGCTCTCAATGGGAGGGGGAGGTGGGACCCCCGGACCCCCCACGCCGGTAACCCAGCCACTCTAGTTCAGAGGCTAAGTACAGTGGTACCTCGGAATGCGAGTGTCCCTGTATGCAAGTTTTTCGGAAGACGAGCAGGATTTACTCCAAAAATATGTCTCGGAAGGCGAGAGTTACCTCGGGACGCGAGTTTGTTGATACGTGTACAGGCCGACTGGCGCGTGGTGGCATGGCGATCGCGCCTCAGTTTACCAATGTCTCGTGTCCAGTGACTATCCCACCTGAATTCTTCACAAGGATTTACAGTTTTTTATCGGTTTTTTGGCCATTTGAGCATAAAAGTTGTCATTATATATCTTGCCATGGGTCTCAAGAAAGCCATTGGTAAGGTTCAACCTAAGAAAATAGCTGTGAGTAGAGGCAGTAGAGGATGTCCCTTCTTGATTAAGAAAATGTGTGAAGTATGGGAAGAACTGCAAAGTTTTGTTGAAAAAACTCACCCAGATAAAGCTGTAGCAGGCCGTTGCATTGACCTTTTAAATGATAATGTGATGTCTTACTACAGACAAGTGTTAAAATGTAGGGAAAAACAAGTGTCATTAGACAAATTCTTAGTAAAACAAGCAAGTCCTAGTGGTATGCAGGCAAAATGTGCCAGAGTGTGCATACCAGTGAAGTCCTCACTGCTTGATGTGATAATGGAAGGGGACTCCCCTTCCAAACAGTAACTCCTCTCTTCCTCCCACCTCCTCACCATCTTCCATACGTCTACAGCATTCAACAGCAAGGTAAGTAATAACTTGAACATAGTTTTGTAGGTTTATTTAGATGAATTAGGTATAAAAATTTAGTTTGATGTGGGGTTTTTGGGGTAGTCAGGAACGGATTAATTCATTTCCCTTTATTTCTTATGGGGAAATTAGCTTCGGAATGCGAGTTTTCGGAATACGAGGCGTCTCCAGGAACCAATTAAACTCTTAAACTGAGGTATGCCTGTATCAAACACGCAAAAACAGCCGACTGAGGGAGGGTTACCAAGGAGTCTCTGGGGCTCACCCAGAAAATGGCATTTTGTTACATTCAACGCTGGTTTATGTGTGGAGTCTCTACGGCTCCCTGGAGCTACATACCCAAAGATAAGGAAAAGATGAACCTACCCAGGAGGCGACTGCCACACACTCCTCAATTCAAAGTTGAGACAACTGGCTGTAACCTGCGACCCAAAGCAACAAAAAAACGCCCAGCACGAAGAACTTTAACCAAATATCAGGCGGCCAGGACCCATTTCGACCTCCAAAATCCCCGCACCCAAATATCAGCCAAACATGGCAGCCAACGCTGCCGTTGCTACTGGCAGCCAAATATGTTGCCAAACACGGAAGCCAATGCAGCAACATCCCTAACATGATGGGCACGAGGATAGACAGCAGGCTGGCTCAACTTTAAAACCCTGCGGATGACCTGGATCAGGATCATCCAGATCCCCATTGTCTTAGAGGCATCAGTTAACAACCAGACAAAATGGCAAGGGCACAACGTTCCAGCATCCGACCACCCACAGCACACCACTCAACCCAGTCATTAACCGATGAAGTAATTCATACTGAATTGTTTGATGAGGTTGATGACCCTGATATTGATGACTCTGACATAGATAAGGACTACACACAGCTTGAGGATGTTGATACCATAGACAGTGAGAATGAACATGAGGGTGCCATAAGGGTGAGGAGGCCTACAGATTCACCAGTGACTTCTCGTCCACACTCAACACAACTTCGCACCCAACAACATAGTTCATGTGTTACTTTGCAAGATTATGATGTTTTGGTCGACGAGTCTGACGTCGACCAAACGTCATTAGAGTCTGACGTCTCTAATCAGAAAATAGTTTTGCCACGCCTGTTGCTGGTGGCAGTAGTGCTGCCAAGCAAAGTTTTGTCGTGTCAGTATCGTGTCGCCCAGCCAAGTGCTGCCACATGGCACCACCTGGAGACAATGAGGAACAAAGTCCCTCATCTTCAAGTATTTTTCCCTCATTGTCCCTTCCTGCCCCTACTGTTGCTAGATCTGCTTCAGCGCCTGGTCCATGGATTCCTCGCTGTGGTGCTGCTGTTTCCACTCGGAAGACAGCAGGTGCATTTGTGTGGAGTGATGGGGAACATTTTGTTCCAGAAATGCCTGCCTTTGATGCTAAAAATGTTGGCATTACAGGACTTTTTCCCCTGATAATGGTGATGAAATGTGTGAAATGGACTTCTTCACTGCATATTTTGATGAGCTGCTCAAGGAACAGATTGTTCATGAAGCGAACAAATACGCGGCTGATCTCATTGGTGAGGAGTTATCAGAATTTTCACGATTACAGCACTGGAAAGATACGACTGTAGGTGAAATGTATGTGTTTTTTGATAATGAAACATTGTGTCAAATATGTAATAAACCATTATTTATTAATGCCTGTTCAATTTGCTAATTTAATTTGAAAACTAATTTGCTAGTTTTCATTTGGGGAGTTCTGTCCACTCGTTTGGATTCGGTAGCAATAGTTTCACCAGAATAGGGATTTGGTTTGGGATGCCTACCTTTCTGGGTGTCAGACCTGGTCGATGGCAGACATAGAATGCTCCCAACCACCTGGGGGTTTCTATAGGCCATTGCTCTTCGCGCCTCTCTGAGGGGACCAGGTTCTGTTTTGTGATCCCCGGTAGGCAAGAACTGACGGGGATCCCCCCAGAAAAGAGGAATTCACAGAGCAAACGCCAGAGGTGGTCTGTGCTGCAAGAGCTATCAGGCGGGCGTTGCCACAGAGATATTATTACCTAATTATTTCAATGTCTCTGATTTTTTCTTAGTTTTTTTGCAGTAATATTATTCAATAGTGTGTAGTGTGATATATTTATATAATAAAATGTGTGAACCATTGCTATACTTAAAATTATGGTGTGCATATTTGTGAGTCAATTTTTAAGTTCATAAAACAATAAAAAACCAGCGTTGAACGTAATAAAATGCCATTTTCTGGGTGAGTCCCGGAGGCTTCCCGGAGGCTTCCCGGAGCTACTCAGGCTGATATAGCTCCTCTAACTATTTTGCATCAATGTGGGTGGAGTTCTAAGCCTACAGGGGACCACGAGCCAGAACCTGGCCCCCCTCACAGAGGCACGTGGAGCAATGGCCCATAGAAATGCACATGTGATTTGGAGCATTCTACATCTGCCATCGACCGGGACAGGCACACAGAAAAGTAAGCGCCATAAAACAAACCCCTATTCTGGTTAAAACAATGGAAAATGCCAATGAGTGGACAGAACTCCTCAAAAGAAAAACGAGCAAACAAGTATGACGTCACACAAGCCACGCCGCATGTCTGCGCAGCTCCCCCCCGTCCCCGGGAGGGGGAAGGGGGGAGCCCCAGACATTTGCGCCGGCGATCCACACCTCGGTTCTGAAGCTGGATATCAAAAACGTGAAAAGACGGCTGACCGGAGGGAGGGTTGCCGGGGATCCTCCAGGACTCGCCCAGAAAATGGCATTTCATTACATTCAACGCTGGTTTTCTTGGGGAAGCCCCTTACGTTTCCCCGGCGATACTTCACCAAAGACGAAAACAGAGGGACACATCCAGGAGGCGGTCGTCGCTCACATCACAATACGAAGTCGAGACAACAGCCTGCAACAGCCGACCCAAGGTGACACAGGCCCGACTAGAACCAGGAACATACACGAAGAAGCACGCAGCCAGGACCTAGCGCAACCGCCAAAACAAACTAGTGCCCGAATATCAGTCCAAGACAAGCCACCAAGACGACAGCAAGCACAGCAAGCCCATGAACGTCAAGGGCACGGGGAGAGACCGCAGGCAGGCTAGACAGAAAAAAGGGAAACCTGGACAACCCAAAGTGCAGCCCCGGCCACAGAGGCTGCGGAGCGCAAAGAACGGTGGAGAGCCGCAACCGGACACAAAAACCCGGCCAACCAATCAAACAGCAACAACCCCAGGAACCCCTCCGGAAAGAGCTGTCGCAACCCCACCAGAAAAGAAGACACGGCCACAAACGACCAAATACCAGAACCCCAAAAAGGAGAACCACTGACAAAAACCGGTACCGAAGGGGCCACAACAACCTGAGGGGAAGAAAGAAAAGAGCACCCTGCCCAAGAGCAGGATGGTATAAGTGGAGCAGGATGGCAAAAGTGGAACAGAAGCTGGCCGGAGGCAAACAACGCCGAGACAACGCGTAGCGGTGCAGAAGGAACAACAAAACCGGGGCAATCCGAAGCAGCTCCGCCAATGCCACACGAAACAGGGCGACGGTATGCCGCCAGACGACAGCCCTGATCCACCACAAGAAAAGAACAAGACCATGACAAGAAAGATTGCAGTACACCTACGAAGAGACAAAAAGAAAAGGAAGGACCGCCAGAAAACCCCATTCCGCCGCCGAGATGAAGCAAGCAGGTGGGACACATTCAAGAAGCCACCTGATTACCAAACAGATGGTGAGATACTTGAGTCAAAACGACCAGACTAGAAGACCCGAAAAAGACGAACCGACTATGCAAATGAGGCCGAGCAAAAGGAAAACCCCTGGGTGCATACACTGAATAAGCTGAGCCGAAACCAAGGCTGTCAAAAAAATAAAAGGAACGTCTGCCAGGAACCAGGAACCCCGACAAAACCCGGCAAGCCGGGAAAGAACCAACTCGGCTGAGCAGACATGCCCCATACGGGAGGCACACCCCCCTCCCCCCCGGGACCCCTGGAAGGAACAACAAAGAAAAACCGTAGCCAGGGCCAGAAGCCAAACACCTCCTGCCCCAACAAAAGGAACTGGAGGGGCAGGAGTGGGTGATTGGAGCCACAGACACCAGCAGACAATACAACACAGAAGCTGGTAGTGACAAAAGAGAAGAACAACGTAGTGCTACACCGGAACACCGGGCCCGTTCCACAACAGGAAAACTGAACAAGAACAGAACGCAACCTAGCACAAGAATGAAAGCAGCCAACACGCACCTACCAAGAAACACAACAATGTGTAAGATAAGGTAGGAACACGGAAAAATGCAATGAAAAGACAGTCCAAGTACTGGAAGGCAGGGACAAAAGCATAAGCAACCAGAAACAGAAGGCACATGAGCCACCTGCAGGCGTGAAGAGAGAGAGAAAACAAGACCCTCGCCCAAACTCAAGCGCTAATGGGAGAAGCAACCCCCACATGAGCACCAAAAACCCCGACCCCAAAAAACAGGAAAAAGCCACCCAAACCCCAGGAGGAAGGAGAGGGGTATAGAAGGCATGTACACACGCCGGATGTATATGAATGTGGAGAAGGAGCGTACATATGGTTCAACCACAAGGTAGAAACCGACCAGAATGGCAACTGGTCTAACCCACACACTGCGACACCACAATGGATGCCCAAGTCAAAACCGGGGGAACGCCCCAAGAAGAATGCGGAAAACATTCAGACAACCCATTAAACCAAAAGCCAAAGGCTGTTAGTGACAAGTCAGGGTAGGTCAGGCAAAAACTATGGGGAAATCCTGAACATGAAAATCAGCGCCCGTTAACGTCAACCCGGGCGACCACCGAGGAAGCGCAACACATGGGCCGACCCAACTGCTACTTGGGTCAGACATCAGAACGGTATGGAACATATATATAAGGGTGCAGCCAGGCGCTGCACAACGGCAATGAATGAGCGTCTAGTCCCAGCTAACAAGACACCAGACCTTAGAATCTCGCCTGTAGAGCATAGGCACTATCGAGGAATGACGGCGATGCCACGTAACAGTGTGGGAGCATCGCTAGAGGAACATGTCCAGAGATACTTGTGCAAGAGAGCAGGGGCAGAGGAGAGGCGCAGGAAGTGCCACTTCAGCAGGAGCCAAAGAGAGGCACCTCCAGAAAATAGTTTTGCTGTTATTACACTATATACACACACAGGTTATATATAAGTATCTGCATGTTTTGGTCACCATAACGAACCACTAAGTTGGTATGGCGAGTCAAAAAGCAATGAGGAGTGGCTGCCACACCAGCCAGCCAGCCACTGGCCGCCAGTCCCTTCCTCACCTTACCTCACTCGTCAACATTCTCCTCCCAACAAACTGTTTTTGTTTTTATTCACTATATATGGACTTTATATATAAGTATCTACATGTTTTGTTCACCATAACTGTACATTTAAGCTGGTATGGTGAGTTCAGGCAATAACAGAAGTCACCACACAAAGTCAGCTAATGCTCCCTCCCCTCCCTCACTCGTTCAAGGCCAAATACATTAATACTTCTCCTCCAAGCATACTATTTGTGGTGTTATTACACCATATACACACACATTATATATAAGTATCTGCATTTTTTATTCACCATAACTTTATAACTAAGCTGCCCAAACAGCATAGTGGCCACCATACACTGCATGACAAGTCATGCAGATGATGCCACCTCCCTCACCAAAATGGCTCCTCCCAACATATTCGTTTTGCTGTTATTACACTATATACACACACACGCTATATATAAGTATCTACATTTGTGTTCACCATAGCGAACTACTAAGCTGGTATGGTGAGTCCAGACAGTAAAAGGTGGCCACACACAGTCAGCTTACGACCCTACCTCCCTCCCCACCAAGATTACTCCTCCCACCACAGCGCTAATTATCACCACAATCTTGCTATTATCAGAATCCTGGTCATTTTTATCAGTCAGGGGGTCTTCTGTAATGCTATCATCGCTAAATAATAGCACGTACATATATGTTTTTACATTTTTAGGTAATGCTGTGGTCACAAGCTGAACAGTAATGTTGTTAGCTCATGCTGCATGTGCTAGCCTTGGTGACTCACTCAGTACTGAGGCTCTCACACCTGGATATGTTACCCACGATTTTTTTTCAAGATGGCTTCTATTTACTATCGGCCGTGACTGGACTATGGCTGCCCTTATCCCTTGCAGGGCATTTAAAATCATGCGCTAGACCCTCAATCTATGTATATATATGTACGATGTGCACGATTTCGTGACAGTTACTCCCATTGTATATATATGTATTGCACGGCTTAAGGGTTAAAGCATTACCTACCTGCTTTTTTTTTTTATCCTTGCGAGTAAGGCGTGCCATCAGCTGCTCTGCACGCTGCAAGTATTGGGCAGTTTTCCTTCTGACCGCCTCCCTACGACTCCCATCCCCATCTCCTGTGGTTAAAGTTAATATTTTCATATTAGTGTGTCCAGAAATTATGAACTATTTAAATTTTTAATAACATTCTGCTAAATTATATGTGTGGTATTCAATTACAAAATGTTATAAAAGTTTAACGTCAATAAAATATGTTAGTCCCATTATAACTAAAGAATAATGGTGCATAATTCCTAAAATGTGATGAATCTATCATATACTGTATTGGAAAATAATTAAATGCATGATTTGTCATTATAGTGATGGAAAAAACCAGCGTTGAATGTAATGAAACACCTTTTCCTGGGTGAGCCATGGAGGCTCCCTGAAGCTATCTGAACTGATATAGTTTGGAGTCAGCAGTCACAGGAGTCCTTTTGCCTACCAGGGACCATGAGCCAGAACCTGGCTCCCCCCCTTAGAGAAGCCCAGGGAGCAATGGCCTATGAGCACCTTACATTTAAATTAAATCATAATTGCCATCAACCGGGAAAGGACCCAGAAAGTTAGGCAAAACCAGACCACTGTCTGGTTAACCTGTGCAATCTACATGCTAAAAAATCAAAATAACTCCCCTAGAAAGTAACCAAACAAGAAACACCTCATGCAAATAACATTCCTGCTCGTTAGCGCTACACAGGATGGGTAGCTAACGACCCAAAGATAAGTAAACAGAGGGACAGCACTGCCGTTCTCAAGATGACGAAGAGAGAGACGGTCGCAACAAGTTCCCCAAAGCCACACACAGTCGGGGAAAAATGGAACGTTCACAAGATACCTAGTGGCCAGGATCCTGTTTACCTCCAAAACCTTCGCACCCAAATGTCAAATCAAGACATGTTGCCATAAAAAAGGTGCAAGAGCAGCTTACTTCCTAACATCATGGGCACGAAGGTAGACCACAGATTAGCTAGACTTGATGACACTACGCACAACCTGTGATACACAAGTCCTGGAACAGGGAACCAGGGAAACCAGATCCACCCATAGAGCGTCCATGGACACCGAGCCAGTGGCCTGCAATTAGTGACGTAAAGCTGCCACCAGACATGAGACACAATGCACCCCTGGCCTAACCAACCAAGCATCCACAACCAGTGGACCCCCTCCAGAAGCCAGCCATCTCATTCTTTGCCAGAAAATAAGAAGGCTACAAATGAACAAAAGGATCACTTGGACCAAATGAACAGAATCCCCCCGCAACAGAGGAGAGCATGAAGCTTCCCAACCCAACCCCCTAGATCATGGCCAACAAAAACAAGGCCTTCCAAAAGCAATCCCTCACTGAAGGGGGCACAACAAAACTGAGGAGAAGGAAGAAAGCAAAGAAAGAGCTCTGTCCAAAGATGAAGAAGGTTCAGGCAGTGCATGAGCAGGCTAGAGGTGAAAAATGCATGAGAAAGCCTGCGTAAGTAACATCCACTCCGAATGCAAGCTAAAGTGGCTCTGCCAACGCTGCGTGATAAGAAGCGACAGTATTAAGGATGAGATGCCAATCTCAAAAAACCAGCGTTGATGTAATGAAATGCCATTTTCTGGGTGAGTCCCGGAGGTTCCCGGAGCTATCCAGGCTGATAGGGATAGTCCTAACTCTTGACATCAGTCGATGTGGGTGGAGTTCAAGGCCTACTGGGGACCACGGCCAGAACCTGGCCCCCTTCAGAAAGGCATGAGGAGCAATAACCTATTGAAATGTACATGTGATTTTGGAGCATTCTATATCTGCCATCGACCAGGACAGGCACCCAGAAAGGTAAAGCACCACAAAACAGACCCCTATTCTGGTCAACAACGAAAAACATCAAACGAGTGGATAGAACTCCCCAAAGGAAAAAGAGCAAACAAGCATGACGTCACACGAGCTGCGCCACATGTCTGCGCAGCTCCCCCACTCCCCGGAAGGAGGAAGTGCACCCAGGCCTTCGCGCCGCCGATCCTCACCCGTTCCGAGCCTGGGTTTAAAAAACGCGAAAAACCGCCGACCGGAAGGAGGGAAGGTTGCCGGGGAGCCTCCGGGACTCACCCAGAAAATGGCGTTTCATTACACTCGACACTTGCTTTTCTGGGGGTTGCCCCTACAGCTCCCCGGAGCTACCTCACCAAAGATGAAAACAGGGGAAACATCCGGGAGGCGGTCGGTGCTCACACTACAACACGAAGTCGAGACAGCAGGCTGCAACAGCCGACCCAAAGCGACAGGCCTGAATAGGCCCAGGAATGCACATGTGCGAGCTCGCAGCCAAGACCCAGCACGTGGGTCCTGGCTGACCCACGTGCTGGGTCAGTGGATAGTGGATATACTTGCCTATAAGTGGATAGACTTGTTGCTAGGCAAGGAAGTAAGTAAATGAGATGTATGCCAAATTTTGCAAAATATACAATGAAGGCACACAAACATCATTCCAAAACAGACATGCAGACCTAGGAAACAGGGTTAGTTCAACAGAAATTGTGAGAGGGCCAGAGATCAAAAGAGGCAAGCATGGAATCATTATAGAAAGAGACAAACCCCCCAAACATACCAGTGATACAAAGATTCAAGAAACAACTACACGTCAGTAAGGAGAGAGGCAGAGATAAACTTTGAGAACAGTACAGCAGACAAATGTAAATCAGATCCAGGCCGTTTCTATAAATTCATTAAAAGCAAGCAGCAGGTAAAGGATAATATTCAGAGGTTGAAAATGGGGGAACAGATATATGGAAAATGAAAAGGAAATGTGTGAAACACTAAACGAAAATTTCCAAAGTGTGTTTGTACAAAATAATATCTTCAGAGAACCAGACACAATAAGAATTCCTGAGAACAACATAGAGCACATAGAGGTGTCTAGAGATGAAGTGAAACAAATGCTCCTGGAGCTAAGTAAGAACAAAGCAGTTGGCCCAGATGGAGTTTCACCATAGGTTCTAAGAGAATGTGCACCTGAGTTCAACATTCCACTTCAGCTGATTTTTCAGACATCCCTGTAAATAGGAGTCGTAGCAGATATGTGGAAAAGGGCTAACATAGTTCCAATCTACAAAAATGGTAGCAGGGAAGACCCCCCTTAATTATAGACCTGTATCATTGACAAGTGTAATAGTGAAAATATTGGAAAAAATAATAATAACTAATTGGGTACAACACCTGGAGAGAAATAATATAATATCAAACAGACAGTATGGTTTTCGATCTGGAAGATCCTGTGTATCGAATTTACTCAGTTTCTATGATCGAGCCACAGAGATTTTACAAGAAAGAGATGGTTGGGTTAACTGCATCTTTTTGGACCTAAAAAAAGGCTTTTGACAGAGTTCCACATATGAGGTTGTTCTGGAAACTGGAAAATATTGGAGAAGTGACAGGTAAACTTCTAACATGCATGAAAAATTTTCTGACACAGAAAAACATGGGCAGTAATCAGAGGCAATGTATTGGACTGGAGAAACATCACAATTTGTGTACCACAGAGTTCAGTTCTCACACCTGTGATGTTCATTGTCTACATAGTGATCTACCAGATGGTATACAGAATTATATGAACATGTTTGCTGATATTGCTAAGATAATATGAAAGATTAGAAACTTAGATGATTGTCATGCCCTTCAAGAAGACCTGGACAAAATAAGTACAGAGCACCACTTGGTTTCCGAACTTTAGTTATCTGAAACTTCCAGTTTCCCGATTGGGGTTGGGGAGTCATGCTACACGAACAAAGTTCGGGTAGGAAGTGGTCCGCCAAGCGTCGCGCCGGCCCGTGGTGATGGGTGGGAGATGGTCCAGTTTGCCCACTGACCGTGTTGGGCGCCACTACTCTTAGAGTGCCTTCTACCCTGTTGATTTCAGAGATTCACGGCCTATTATTCCTGTTATTTTGATTTGTCATGAGGCTGGAGAGTTCATTCTGTGATTTTGTTTTACATATCTGCACAATCAAGAAACATCTGTGCACCATGTTGGCTCCAAATGCACGCATTGCATCAGTGATTGCTGACTGGTGGGTGGATGGATGGGGGAGCTTAGGTGGGAGGCAGTATGAGAGAGAGGGGGAGAATTAGTGAGAAAGGGAGGGGGGAGGTAGGAAGGAAGGAAGTAGTGAGGGGGGGATGGGAGAATTAGGGAGGGAGGGAAAGGCAGGCAAGCAGGCAGGCAGAGAGGCAGAGAGGCAGGCAGGCAGAGAGGCAGGCAGGCAGGCAGAGAGGCAGAGACAGGCAGGCAGGCAGGCAGGCAGGCAGGCAGGCAGGCAGGCAGGCAGGCAGGCAGGCAGGGAGGCAGGCAGGCATGCAGGCAGAGAGGCAGGCAGGCAGAGAGGCAGGCAGGCAGAGAGAGAGGCAGGCAGGCAGAGAGGCAGGCAGGCAGAGAGAGAGGCAGGCAGGCAGAGAGAGAGAGAGGCAGGCAGGCAGAGAGAGAGAGGCAGGCAGGCAGAGAGAGAGGCAGGCAGGCAGAGAGAGAGGCAGGCAGGCAGAGAGAGAGGCAGGCAGGCAGAGAGAGAGGCAGGCAGGCAGAGAGAGAGAGGCAGGCAGGCAGAGGCAGGCAATCTGCCTTTCCCTCCCTAATTCTCCCATTCTCCCTCACTACTTTCCTCCTAGCATCTCTCCCTACCTTCCCGTCCCTCCCTTTCTCACTAATTCTCCTCCTCTCCCACTATTTCTCCTCTCTCACTAATCCCCCCCCACCCCCTCTGTTGGTGGAGTGGTGAGGGAGGCAGTAAGGAAGGATTTGCTGACCAGGCGATGGTTGCCAAACTTCTCAGCCATATTGTATTACAAATTTTAATTTTAGTTGTAAAATATTTATGCCAAAATATGTTAATTTTCATATATTAATATACATTATTAATCATTAACATGTTATATGATTTCCTATTTATTAATTAAACAAATATAGTTTTATTTATGAATTATGCACAGCTGGCATCTGTGAGCAGGCGCTGACAGACATGTCCGCCTCTACACAGCCTCCACCCCGTTAGTAACTCCCCCTCCTCCACAGCCTGCTGTTCTCATGTTAAGAGGAAGGCAGTGAGGGAGGGA